AGACAAATGGCTGTCCAGTCTCTTCTTAAAAACTTCCAGTGTTGGAGCATTCACCACTTCTGGAGGCAGGTTGTTCCACTGGTTAATTGTTCTAACTGTCAGGAAGTTTCTCCTTAGTTCTAGGTTGCTTCTCTCCTTGATTAGTTTCCATCCGTTGCTTCTTGTCCTGCCTTCAGGCGCCTTGGAGAATAGCTTGACTAATAGTAATAGTAGCAGTAACAGAGTTGGAAGGGACCATCTAGTTCAACCCCTTGCTCTTCAGGAGACCTATACTGTTTCTGATAAATGACTGTCCAGTCTCTTCTTAAAAGCCACCAGTGATGAGACACCCACAACTTCCAAAGGCAATTTGTTCCTTCTTGGATTTCTTTTTTCCCCGATCTCCAAAGGGGTAAACAAATTTTGCCCACAATCAGATACTCCTGACTGGTTAAATTTCCAGGTGTAAAGTCTTATTTATCATGGCATCACTAACTGTAGGCATTCTTGATCCAAGTGAATATCAGTCTTTTATTTTCCTTGCATATTTCCTTCCCTCTCCTCTGCTTGTTAAAGTTAAAAGCCCTAGGATGGTCTATCGCAGTGTTTCTCAACCTTGACAATTTTAAGGCATGTGGACTTCAACTCCCAGAATTCCACAGCCAGCATTGCTGGCTGTGGAATTCTGGAAGTTGAAGTCCACATGCCTTAAAATTGTCAAGGTTGAGAAATGGTCAGGTAGGATAGGCAGTTTCTTTGGAGAGATTTAATTCAAACCGTGACGGCATTATCAGCTCCTTGATACCTGCTTTGATTAACTAACTTTTTCTTTTAAAAAATATTATTTTAGAGGACGCTGGAACTGTGAACACATTGCTAAATGGATACAAGGTAATTTGTCAGATTTTGCTTTTAGGAATGTCAAACTTGAAAATGAGAAATTGTGATTATGTATATTTTCTAGTTACTAATCATTTAGATATTTCACCATCCATCAGCTTTGCCTTTTATCTACAGTAGCATATTGAATGTGGAAAGAATATACTTTCTCTGGGGGTTTTTCCCCCCTAGGCAGTAGTTATTGCAACCGAGCTGCAATTTCAAAACATTTGTATCTGAATGTCAAAAGCAAAAATAATAATAATAAAAAATGAATAATTTGAGCCTAAAAACTACAGATAAACCACAGAAAGGCAGTTATGTTGATGTAGCTTTTGATCTAGAAATTAGATTTAGAGTTTGCATGAAAGCTTTCTGTTGCAGTCTTAAGAACTTCCTACTAATTTGAAAATTAGGAGAACAATTAAAGATAAGTTCACTTCTAAGGAAAATCCATTAGGCACTGCCTAGATCCGTGGTGGCAAACCTATGGCACGCGTACCACAGGTGGCACGCAGAGCCCTCTGTGGGCACGTGCACCATCGCCCCAGTCTTAGGCCTTCAGCTAGATTTTATAAAACTTTTTCGCTTTAGGCCTCCACCAACGTGTGCAAAAAAAAAAAAAAGGTTCAATCAATCAATTTCAACTTGTGGGGGAAAAAAAATCTCGCAAAGTTGGAATTGATTGATTGAACTTTTTAGTCCCACCCAGTCTGCCATTATCACTGAAGCCATGCCCACCCAATGGGCCACGCTCACCCGCACCCGACAATACCTAAGTGGGTTTTGGGTTGCGGTTTGGGCACTCGGTTTCTAAAAGGTTCACCATCACTGGCCTAGATAATACCGTTTTACTCACTTGAGCATTAACTTAATGGTGGTTGTGTTCTTTTTATTAACTGCTTGTGACTGTTTATTCTTCTCAGCTATAAGAAGAATCATAGATATAAGCTTCCTTTTAACACATTAGCTTTGTTCTGGAGCATTGACAGCAGACTTGTGGCACATTAATGTATAGTGTAGCTCCACTGCAATACTCAACATTTCATTGCTAATTCTGAAAAAGAAAGGCTATTATCTTCCGAGAGACTGTGGTAGCATAGTCTGTTCCCAAATTTTCAGGATTTCCATGCCGCACTGAGAAAAATATGTAATCTTTTCAGTTATTAATGCTTTTTGCCTAGCTTTCTTATCTATCTTTTCTTGCAGACTGGAGAAAGTGGCAGTGATGGCTTCTCAACATTTGATGTCCCTATTTTTACAGAGGAATTCTTAGACCAGAACAAAGGTACAAATGCAACTGGTGAAATGTAGTTAGTATTCAGATAGGGTGGGTTTCCCTTATGGAAACTGGGGCCTACCAAATAACATTTCTTCCCAGTGCCCCGCCTTCCGAAAGCCACAAGCAATGTCTCAGATGTTTCACAAAGAAGTGAAACAAATGATGAAGATAGGTTTGAAAGTAAATATGCCCATATTTTCTAGAAAAGTTGTGGCTTTATTAAAAGGGGACCAACTTGGCTTAAAATGGCTAGAAAATCTGAAATTGAGCTTTTTTTTTTGCCTTCAGTTGAGTTGGAAGAGAGATTGCGGTATTAATCACTGAAAGAATGGAAATCTTTATTTGCATTTAATACTAGAGATGGATATTGGCACAAGTAGCAAGCTCTAAGAACTAACTAAAGAAAATGGCTAGATTAACAGTCTTTATTAAGTTATTCTTCAGTTAGCAAGTTTATTAAATCACAGTTGGTTCAGTTCACAAATAGAGCTAAAACATAAAAGCAAAAAATAAACCATCTTGGCTTTTTGATGTGTTGGCTTTGTGCAGTGTCTGAACCAGCTCACTTTTCATTTTGGCTCTCTTCATAATACACCTGGGAGATCCTTCCTCAGTGTTCAAATTGTGATTTCTCATTAGATACTAAATCTTTTAGAATCATTTCTCTAGAAATTATAGGAGAAGACAAACAGTACTCATAAGTACGGTTCAAATTACATAGATAAACCCAATTGGCTACATTCGTGCGAGGCCATTAGAGTTGAGTCTACTTATTGCTAGGATATTATGGAAGACAAATAGACTGTCCTGAAAACCAATTTCTCTCTGGTGCCTCTAAAAATTCCCAACCAATACAGTCACAGTCTGGGAATTCTGAGAGCTGTAACTAACACATCTGAATGGTGTCGATTGTGATCCGTGTTTTTTTTTCTTTTTAATTCTGGTCTTCTTGTTTTCCCTTTCTCTTTGCTGGAGCAGCACGGGAAGCAGAGCTGCGGAGGCTGCGTAAGATGAACACGGAGTTTGAGGAGCAGAATACCATCCTGCAGAAACACACGGAGAGCATGAGCTGCGCCAAGGAGCGCTTAGAGCAGGAGCTTGCACTGGAGGAGAGGCAGACAGTGGCACTGCAGCAACAGCTCCAGACCGTGCGCCAAGCTCTGACAGCCAGTTTTGCCAGCCTTCCCATTCCAGGTACTGGAGAGTTTTAGTTTTGACAGTGCTTGCCAACTTAGGAGACACGAAAGTCTGCATGCTTTGCAATACTTGTGTGTAGCAGTCGTCTATCTTTTAGGGATGCACTGATCATGACAGTGCCACAAGCAAAACACTGCCCCATTCTCAATCTCAAGTTTTACTTTTGTTAAAAATGCAAGAGTGTTAAGGTGGTTATATTTACCAGAAGGTTTGGACCAACTCTTCAGGGTCCTTCTAGGAGGTTTGTGCCTGCATAGAAAACACTGCCATCATAGAAACGTGAGAGTTGAGAAAGATCTTTGATTTCATCTAGTCCAGCCCCTCCTTCAATAGAGGAATTGACAAATGACCATCCAGCCTCTGTTTGGAAATTTCCACCAAGATTATTGCTGAAAGAAAAACCACTTTGGGTTTGGATTTAGACAGGCCTGTTATTTATACAGTGGTACCTTGATACTCAACTGCTTTGAAACTCATTGAATTTGGTACTCAGCGCATTTTGACATGAAAAGTTTGTCCCGATACTCATAGTTTGTTTGATACTCAACCCACAAGCTAGAACATGTTGGTGTTGGCTGCCTTGTGACTCACTACATTATTCCTTAGGGGAAAAATTTGTTTGGTACTCATCGTTTTTTGTACTCATTGCGCCTCCCAGAACCAATTAACCATGAGTACCGAGGTACCACTGTACTTAAGTTGTAGACCAAGATAAATGAATACTATTGTGCTGTGGATGGAGAAAAAGCAGGAGTGACTTACTAGAGCAACTTGCAGCCTTTGCTGCTGGCTTCCCAATTGAGGTTGCTTGTGGGAAGTTGTCTGAGAAAACTGCAAGTTGTAAAAAATGTGACTGCAGCTCCCCGTGAGGTTGTAATCACAAGCCAGGCACCCGAGTGCCCAGATCACAATCACATTGCTGCGGGGGTGTTGTGACAGCTGAAACGTTAATTACCAGTCAGTCATGTGTGTGTGCTTTTTCAGTGCTGTTGAACTTTGAACAATGGCTGAATAAATGGATGAAAGCTGAATGCTACTGAAAAAGGGCAACAGGAAATTGGGGAGGGGGGGGAAAAGGGGAATAGAAGCAAGCAGCAGCAAAACCAGTTTATGGGTGCTGAGAAAGTTTCTAAATCCAAGCTTAACTGGAAAACTTTTTAATTTCTTCCAATTAGATACTTGCTAGATTCTGGCTGAACATTTTAGAGTTAAAAATGGAAAATTGGAAAAAAAGCAAATTTATGCATTGTCATCACTCTGAATCAGGTCAACGTGTTCTGTAACTATGCAGTATGAATACAGAATATGTTATTGAGAAAACATTCTGAAAGGCATGTTTTACTTTGTTAAAAAGGCAATTTTTTTAACTCTTAGTTGTCTGAAAGTTATGTCCAGATAAGATTTCCACAATTCAGAGGGCGAGGTTTGTTCTCTGCTCGCTTCAGTGTATCCTACAAAATGTTAATCAGCAAGGATGCTAATTGCTGCTCAAGCAGCTAATGAGACTCTTTCCAACAGGCACAGGTGAAACTCCCACACTGAAAACACTTGATTTCTACATGGCAAAGCTTCACAGCACCATTGAGAGCAATCCCATACAACACGAAAGGCTGGTTGTCAGAGTCAAGGAGATTTTGTCCCGCGTTGCCAAGTAAGCATGAACATATGCTTCTGTAGTACAGGGACTCCTCGACGTATGACCATAATGGAGCCTGCCCATTAATGGTCATAATCATGTGACCTATCCAATTGTACTTTTTTTGGGGGTGGTGGTGGTGGTGAAGCGAATCATCATGCTCATTAAGTGAACCTGCAGTCATTAAGCAAATGCCATGGTCGTTAATTGAATGTATTGTTCGCTAGGGGGCCTATTTGCCAACATTTGCCAAAAACTGCAAGTAAACGCCAGTTTTGTACAAAAACGTAAACTGAAGTCATCTGATCCAGGATGCTTCAAACGGCCATAAAAAGAGACCAGTTGCTGAACATCCGAAATGCAGTCACAGTACTGCGGGAGAGGGGGAATCCGTCGGAACTTTGGAACTGGTTTGTAAGCACCTTTTGGGAGGTCCGTCGGAACTTCAAAAGGTCACCATCGATGAGTTGTAAGTCGAGGACTCCCTGTAAGCAGGGTTGATATAGAAGCCAACTACGACCCTTTACACAAACAGATAACTCAAGGCAGAGATGTGTAATGTTTGGATCTGAAGTGGGCAACTTTCCTGGCAAACATTCTCACCTCTCTGGGCTGATGCATCAGCCAGGAAGGTTGCCCACTTCAGATCCAAACACTACACATCTCTGCCTTGAGTTATCTGCTTGTCCAGGATTTGGAAAGCACTAGGTTTCCCCCATCATTTCCTCCCATCTCCTTAATGGATCCAGAGATCTTTTGCCCACAAAACAGCCCTGCTGTTACACTGGAGGCTTCTCTTCAGACATGTGCTCTTGGTGTAAGGGAAAGATGTGAATCTAGAATATAGCGTGTTCCTTTGCATGCCTACTCTAAAGCAGTGTTTCTCAACCTTGGCAACTTGATGATGGTTGGACTTCAACTCCCACAATAGCTGGCTGGGGAATTCTGGGAGTTGAAGTCCACTCATCACCAGGTTGCCAAGGTTGTAAAACACTGCTCTAAAGCATGGGTCTTTTGGCTGGTCTGGTCTGGTCTGCATTGAGTGTAGAGTAGGGGTAGGCAACCTTGGCTCTTTTATGACTCGTGGACTTCATCTCCCAGAATTCCTGAGCCAGCTATGCTGAGGGGAAAAGGAGAGGTTTCCAAGCTGAGCCATGCTGGCTCAGGAATTCTGGGAGTTGAAGTCCATGAGTCATAAAAGAGCCAAGGTTGCCTACCCCTGGTGTGGAAGAACTGTCTTGGGTCACCTATAAAATAGTTAATGTATATACATAACAACTTATTTTTTTATATGATGTTGTGGGGCCGCATTACTAGCTGTCCAGGACCGCAGGGGGTCCGCGGGCCAAATTTATTTTTAGTTCATTGAAGTTCATTTGCTAACTTGGTGTGCGAACTGAAAACAGAGCTAGCTACTTATTGGAACTAAAATGAGGGTTGTGTTGGATTTAAGAGTTGTTTAATGTTGTCATTTCCAAGGCATCAAATGTCTTGTCATAGACAACTGACCATGTTGTGAGTAACTTTGTTTCTCTCTTCAGCGAGCATTTGTAAGTAACTGGGATGCTGGGCACAACTTGAAAACATCTCAACTAGTTTGCCAGGTTGATGGGACTACACTGCCATACGCTCCTCCTGATGCAGCTGCCTTTATGTAGCAGATCTTCTCCAGTGCCTCTTCTCTTCAAAGAGCCTTAAGTTGCCTTCTCTGCTCCTAAAATATGTAGAAAAACCTCTTTTCTTTCTGAGCTTTGTCCTCTCTTGGCTCTTTCTGAAGTTGCTGGCAGGACAGCAGATGGTAGAATGACAGAAAATCAATGAGACTTGTCCATGATTGCTGGATTCTGGAACTCTGTTTTCTCCTCCAAAGTACAGATTTCCAGGCTAATTTTGCCACAAAAATGAGTATTGCAGTCACTGGGCTACGTGGCTGACTACTGTAGCTACTAACAGGTCACACAGGAATATCAAAAGCAGACCGAAGGAGGCCAATATTTGTAGGCAGATATCAGAATGGTTAGAAGTAGATCAATAAGGATTTTTGACTCCCAATTAACAATAGCAGCTACACAATGCCGCCTCTAACTCTAAATTATACTACTGAGATTATGAAAGATGGCGTTGTGTGAGAGGCCTTTAAATGCTGATCCTTGATCCTTCTTTAATTTTTAGCATATACCTGACTCCAATTGGTGGACTGAGAAAAAGCAGAATAGATCCAAGTCTAAAAACTGTCCTTCCCTCTGATAAGAGGTACAAATGAGCAGATAATTTCAATGAATTCCATTCCACTTGTGTTTTAAAAATCAGAGCAAAACATGCTATTACTTACTATTAATATAGTTTGTATTGTCATTTTAATTATTTTATTGAAACGTTTTGACAGGTGTTTTGGAATTGAGCAATGCATTGCAAAATTTGAACAAGTGCAAATCCAAGAGATAAAGAGTATTTCAATCCAGATATCCATCCACAGAATGTTTATCTGATTAATTCTCACCAGGATGTGTTAATCATCTCTAATGAGTTGTTTCATTGATTGAATTCATATATGCTAAACCATGGCTTGCTTAACCATGGTTTGTTGAATAGCTGGGTTCACACAAATATGTCAAATTAAATTTTTTTTTAAATTCTCCTGGTGACTCAAAGGTGCTTTTTCAAAAGTCACCTGCGCTGTTTTTTTTCCCCTTGAAGAAGATGTTTAGCTTCTCATCCAAAACGTTTTCTTCTTCTTCAAGGAAAAAAAAAAAGTAAGGTTGCCTTTGGAAAAGCATCTTTGAGACAACTATGATCGGCATGCCACAAACCGGTCTGTGCAAAAAGTGAAGCCTCATCTGCAGGATGCAGGCAGCACACAAAACCATGCCCCCTCCGGTCCATGAAAAAAACCTCTCTCCACGGAACCGGTCCCTGGTGCTCCAAAAGTTGGGGACCTCTGAGTTAGAGGGATGTGGGAATATTGACAACGGTTGTGGTTGCATGGCAGGCTTACTTATAATTACCCAACCATAGTTTACCCAGTTTGCCCCATTTTCTGCAGTTGCACGATCTACTTAAACATACACTAACAATGCAGACCAGGTTCACACTAGGCTGAAACCTAGCTGATTGTTTTGGAGTCTGCAAAAACAGTCCACGTGTCATTTCAAAGATCTACCTGTCTCAAGAATGGGCAATTTATGGCATGCAGAACACAAGCATATTGATTTCAATCCCTTTTCATCTTCTAGGGCAGTTTGAGGTGAAGATGGGAATGAATTGCTTTTGGGAGCCTTGAACTTCCATCCCCGGGCCAAAAATAAAAATGGATTTCAGTTCAGGAGACTGACTTTCAAATATTGCCATAAAATTGACCTAGCTTAAAACTGGTGCCATTTCTCCAAGCTAGATGATCAGTGCACATATTATTTGAAATCATGTTGAGTAATCTATTTGATACTGGAGATTCCAGGCAAGTTTTTATTGTGTACAGTAAGTTTCAAAAGGTGGAGTTTCTCTTAGACCTGCTGCCTTATATTATTTTAAATACTGTGACTTAAAATCCAACTAATATTTTTCCAGGGTGAATACCCCTCCCATCACAGTGTGCATTTGTTGACATGCTATATACATCATGAAAAGTTTTGCAGATGGGATACAAATCAATCCCTCAGGAATGTAGCATGAAATTGTGGGGGTTCTTGTGTTTTGAATCGAAGATACATATATAGGGTAGGCAGAATCTCTGAAACCAAACTAGGATTCTGAAGACAGATACCCATCTTGTATGCAAGGAATTTTCAAAGTCATTGTTCCTTCTCCTTGAAAAGAATGGCTGCAAGATTCTATGAAGAAAATTGCATATGTAGATTAAGTTTACTTCATCTAAAATAATGATAGTTAGTTGCTAGAAGCAATTTAACAATGCAAAACTCGGGTTACCTTGGCATAAAATAATGGCTTTATTTATTACATAATGTTGCACCTCTTCTTCATAACAGAATAAATAAATCCCTGCTGATTATTATTGTGAATTAATTCTTACTTAATTTTGTATTTTCTTAATGCATTAGGGTGAGTTTTTTAAACATAATATTTGCATTTAAAATTGTATTTTCAACCTTTTCCTTCCCCTCTCTTGCAAAACTAAAAAAAATAATTAACAGTATGGGAAAGAGTTATGCTGCTCTGGTGAGGGCAGATGTTCTTTTTAAAAAATAAATAAAATACATACGTGTACAAACTTATTTGACTAATCTTTTTGTCGCAAATATTACTTGGGGATGAAAATGAAGCAAAATTCACGTGAATTATCTCTGAGAATAATTTCTGAGTCATGAATGTGAGATTAGCAGTTGTATAAATAAAAATATATCAGGTTTACTGTGCTAACTGTTTGGCAAATACATGTGTATTCAGTGCTATTCAAAGGATAAATGTCTAGAATGCAGGAGATTGAGAAAGGGTTTCTTAAAGTACAATATTATGTAGCAGGGTTTTTCAACCTTTTCACCCATTGTACCACTTTTAGGATATGGCAACATCTGAGTACCACCAGTTGCCTAGCAAGGTGTCAAAAACTTGATGACCAAAAAAAAAAAAAAAAAAGAAAAAAGTGATAAAGTACAGGTAGTCCTCGACTTACAACAGTTCGCTTAATGACTGTTCGAAGTTACAATGGCACTGAAAAAAGTGCCCGCCATGCCACAGCCGAGCAAGACACCTGTCTGCCCACCCGGCCGCGCTCTTCCTCCTGTCCGAGGTTTTTATTGTTGTGAGCATTTCTGTTGAGGATTGGCAGCGGGGGTGGGGTGGGGGGTGTTTGGTTTTTATTCCCCCCGTCTGCTGGGTGGTTGCAGCAGGTTTTGGTCACTTCACATGACCCTGGGACACTGTGACCGTCATAAATATGAATCAGTTGCCAAGCATCTGGATGTAAATCACATGACCCTGAAGATGCTGCAACATTCCAGCTGATCGGCGCTTCTGGGCTCAGCAGAAGCACCAGGATCAGCACCAAGCTCCAGCTGGAGCCTGGCGCTGATCCTGGCGCTTCCGCTGAGCCCTGACAGCCCTGCAGCTCCAGCCATCTCTCGCTCAGGCTTTTGCGGTGCTGCCACCGGTTCAGCTCATTCCCCTCCCCCGCTACCACTTTTCTAGGATGGTCGCGTACCACCTGCCAGGTGCCAATGTACCTCAGGTGGTACCCGTACCACTGGTTGAAAAGCCCTGTTATATAGGTACAATGAGATATAATTACGTGAGCAGAAGATGTTAAGATGAGATTGTTGTATAAAACAAATTCTATTAATCTAAGTGAATCAAATTGCAAATTAGATTAATTATAAGAACAAGCCATCCATTATAAATTAATTATTCAGACATTTATACTTGCAATAAAAATAACTTGATTCCTTGAGTTCCTTCTTCTCCACATATACATACAGTTGATATTCATTCTACCTGCTCTATGAATTAACCATTTAAACAAATGCTATGGGCAGAAAAGTGGAATATGAATAGGAAATAAATATATGTATACTTATATCACTGCTTCTATTTAGGGCAAGCACTTTTATGCTGAGTGCAGGAAAGAAATAGACAATAAATAAAATCATTCTGAATATATTTCTAATGACTACTGTAGAAGGCCCTGGTTTGTTGGATGTTTGCCAAGTATGATGAGTTGCAAGGTAGTCTCTAAGAGAGCCTAGTTTGCATCAAATAGCATACACATGCTTGGAGCAAAATATAACTAATTGTGCATACAGTATGCCATACTGATCAAAACATGATAAAAATGATTGGAATCTCCTTGCCATTAGCAGTAAATGCTGTAGGTGGCATATGTGCAAGACTTTTAGTAAAGTGTTAATATTTATAATTTTTTCCTTGTAAGAGGATTCTTCACAATGTTTTTTTCTTTTCGACTCCAGATTGGATTGCTCTTTTTCCCCTCCAATTCTAACATGCTCTTTTTGTGATGTGTAGTGCCCAGTGTTGTCTATAGAGCTTTCAGATCTTGGCTGCAAAAATCCAGCAAGATGACAGCAAAGAGAGAAACACGTCTTTATGCTGCCATCTTACAGTCATCTGGATTTCTGCAGCTCAGATAAGACAGGCCTTCTGTATGCAGGATTCCAAGTATAATGGTTGTTGTCTATCAAAGCATAAAGTATAATGGTAGATGAGAATGACTTTGGGAGACAGGAAGGAAAGGTGCACACAGGACAACCAGTAGACGATATCCCAACCTACAGAAGGTGTGGGAAACATTTAAGAAGAGACTTTTCCTAAATTCCTGCCTCCTATTCTCCCCACAACAACTACAGTATGCTGTAAGATAGGTTGGGCTGAGAAAATGACTGGCCCAAAGTCACCCGGCTAGTTTTTGTGTCTAACACAGGGCTAGAATTCCTGGTTTCTAGGCCAGCACCTTAACCACTACACAAAACTGTAACTCTTTATATTGTTTGGAGTGATTCCTATTTGGCACTTTTAAAGCTTATCTTTTCAACAAAGGAAGTGACATTGGAGAGTTTTTTTGCATTCTGAATCACTTACAAATAAGTTGAAAGCACTAATTCCATGGAATGCCATCACTCTGCTAAATTGTCAGTTCCTATTGTCATCTGTTATCCCATGATTACAAAGTTTGTGGATTCTAGATAGGCTTTTGCATCTACAATATCTTATCAAATCACTTTTGGGCATTCTCAAAAGAATACTGAAACGTAAGTGCAACTGGCCTTACATTTCCTGAAACTGGACTCTGCTCAAACCAGACTTGCTCTTCTACATATTTCCTGTGATAACTTGCATATAGATGGCAGAGGAGGAAAACTGGATGTAGAAAAGAAGCAAAAAGCAAATTAGTGATTTTATTTATTATTTCTATTTCTAACCACTGCCCGCTACTAACTCCTCTGGGCAAAAATTTAAAACAAATACTAAAATTATTTTAAAAACAATATCAAAGAATGGCTGTGGTAGCGGGGAAAAGAATCTTAATTGAGATGGTGGATTTGCACTGTGTCATGGCCCAGTGCCTGTTAGAAGAGATAGACAGCAGGACTGGGGCTATATGAACCTGGGTGAGGGGGATTTATTCCAAAGCACAAGAATAATGATGGAAAAGGTATGTCTCCTGAGTCCGCTATGATCCCTGAATTGCACCTTGGAAGACCATCAGTACAGAACTCACACAGCAGAGGTGCTTTAGGTGCATATCAATGCCATTTTTAACAAGTTAACAGTGATTCCAGAACAATTATTAACCTAACCAACCTGTAATTTACCTAGATGTCTTCTCAATTTCTTCTCTCTGTTCCCCTCCCCTCCAGATCTTTCTCCTCTCTTGGCATTATGTGGGCCACTTTCCAG